TTTAACAGCCAACTATTTCCCCAGACCCATTGCATCCTGAAGTTGCAAGAGGCACAATGGTTCAGAGCTGTACTCCTTCTCCAGTCATCTGTATGTAGTCTTTCCAGGTACCGGGACCCAGCGGGTCCATCCTGACATGTCAGAGATCAGAGACCCATGCAGGACGCTGGTTCAGCAGCTGCAGACCCCAGCCTCTTGACCCCTAGGCTGCTTGGTGCCAGCTGGTACGGGTTCAGGGGTTCAGGGCCTTGCTGCAGCACCAAGGAAACATTTGTTTCTGCAGCAGGAGCACGCCAGAGCCTATCCCGCAACCCTTGGAGAGCCTCTGGCAGGGAAGTGTGTCCAGCTGACCGGTCCAGTCAGCCACGGCCAGTGTGTTGTAAATTGTGACTCTGCAGCCTTGGGATACTCAGTTGTACATTCCTAAGAAAGGACTGTCCCTTGACTGGCTCCTGGGGTGACCTCTTTGCCCTTGGAATATAAGGTCTTCATAAGAGGACCCCACCAGTTAGCTTATTCTATGAGGGTCTTGAGCTACGCAGTACCAGTTTGTTCTCTGGAGGAGCTGAAGGCTGAACAACTAAGATCAGCCACACAGTCGCGGCAAACACGGGTTTTTCAGAGTCTCGGTGCGGACCCAAGTTCCCAGGGTGTAACCCTTCTATGGCCTGGGAGAGGAGACATTCGCAGCGGTCATTGCGCTTAGAGGCGTGCGAAGACAGAACCCTCCCGACCCTAATGCTTTCATTGCTTCATTTCCGCGGTCCCAAGAGTCTTCAGGGACCCAGTTTCCGACCCCGCAAATCGGTCCGTTTTACAAGTGTAGAGAGTCTCACGTTGCCAAAGTAACGGTCGGAGGCCGACGTTGGAAGCCCCGCCTCCACCTGAGCGAGCCGCCGGGAGACGCCCCTTTCCAGGGTTTTCATTGGATATCATCGGCGTGGCCCGCCCAGAAACGTCCCTCTTGTCAGTCGTCATTGGCCAGCCTCGGGACGTAGGCGCAGTGTCTTATGGGGAATATAGTTCTTGCCGCGAGGACTGGCGTGCAGGGGGAGTCCGCCTCACCTGGAGGGTAGGGCCCCTCACCGCCCCTTTGTGCAACTGGTGACCCCCCCCCCTCCCGCCTCAGTACCAGCTCTGATTCCCTAAGACTCGTAGTTCCGACTGCGTTTATCAGGCGCCCGCCGGGGTCGCCCGCTCCCTGGGACCTCTGCAGCCGCGTCTATTCCGCAGCCCCCGCAGGCAGAACTCTTCGGTCCGGGGCGCATTTTACAAAGGCGTGGGCAGGGGACTGAGGCCCACTCCTCCCTTAGCAGGCCTGCGCTAGTGTCCGCACCTTTTTGATCGCCACTTCTCGCTGCTCCACTCCATTCACAGGTTCGGATTATGGCGACAGACCAATGGACTCGGCCCGGGTGAGTGTGGGGAGATGCTTCCCGCGCATCCCCAGATACTGGGGATGGTGTTCGACATCCCTCTTCCCCTCCCGACCCATTCGCTGTCCTGCTTTTGCTGCTGGAGTTACTCCACGCCCCGCTTGCCGAACATCTGTCTGGGTGATGCCGAGAGGTTCGGGTTTTGGTGGTCAGTAACTTGTGGTGTGGAGGACGTACGGGCACAGAGACCACCAGCATGTGCGAATACTTGGAGGTGAAGCCCAGCTGAGAGTATCTAACAAACTACAGGCCTCCTTAGTGGTGAGAACCGGGAGCAAGAGTCAGGAGTCCGATCCGAAACTGCCTCAATTCTTGGGGTGACGGGAGCAGAGGCGGGAAGTGTTCTCACTCAGGTGTTCACAGATCCTCCCTGAAGACTGGGTGACAGGGAGGCCGGTGAGGAGCCCCAGGAGGGCGGTACTGGACAGCCAGTGAGATTTGGTGGGGGTAATGAGAGACAGTGAGTCATTCAGGTGTGGAGCCGTGTCCTGGACTCTGAATGCATGTGCAGAGGAAAGAGACAGGCTGTGGTGGCTAAAAGGCCAGGGAGTTCTTTGTGTGGTTCCTAGTGGTCAAGAGTTGGACAGAGGAACATAGCCAGGTAAAGAGGTCTTCGGTGCAATGAGCCACTGGAGATATGGCTAGGAGTGGGGCAGGGCGGAATCTTAGTTGTTTATAGCAAGTACTCTCAGGTCTCTAGACACGGAGCGGCATGTGGGAAGGTCAGGGGGATCCCAGTGGTGTGAACTGGCCAGGTTATGTTGGAGAATGTGGAGCTGTGAGCATGCAACAACTCCACAGTGTGTGCCTGGTGAGTGGACGTGCCCCTACCAGCTCTCAGGTTGTTGCCTCATTGGAGCATTATGAAGAATCCTGGGTTCTCATTAGCGTGGCCAGGAGGGGTCTTACTCTTGGTGAGTGGGTATTGGGAGATGAACTAAAGTGAAGGACAGGCTCAAAGTGTGCCACGTGCCTATTTTGTGTCCACTCGTGTGTTCGTGGAGCTCAGGCTGTGGCCCTGCCGCATTCCATCTTTTCTTCACTTTCTGGATACTCTATTCTCTTGCCGTTTGTGTTCATTCTTCGCCTCCCCATGAATCTTTCTGGATTATATGTTTTTCTGTCTCCTCTCTGCATCTTTATCTTTCTGGTTTCAGTCAGGTGAGAGAAATCATACAGTAGCTTGAACAAGAGGAGTAGTTAATCTTACAGTCCAGAAACAAAGGATCCTAGGACCATCAAGGGAGAAGAGCACATGCAGAATGTGAGACCTTATCCAGAGAAGCAGGGACACCAGAGATGGAGGCAGAGACGGGGAAACGGAGAGAGGGAGCAGCTGAGGACTCTAGATTCATGGGAAGAGAGGGACTGAGAGCTGGTGGCCAGGAGGCAGACTTGCAGAATGTGCCCTTTGGTGGTGTAAATTATTATATATGCCTGAGTGTTTAAGAAAAAAAGAAAGAGCTAAAGTGAATAGAGAGAAATACTGTTATGTGATGGTACATGGAAGGGATTATAATCATTGTAATGAAACAAGGTGTATGATTTGTTGAATGTCAAACGGATGATCTGCCCTGTAAACTTTCACTCAATTCACAATAAAAACTTTAACAAAAATAAATAAATTGGGCGGCTATCATTGCTGTGCTCCACTCCATAACCCCAAGCATGAATGTTTACTCATCACACTTCCTTGCCCCCTCTGGTGGTGGTGGTGGTTGTGTGCAGTGGAGTTGGTTCCGACTCACAGCGACTCTGTAAAGGGTTTCTTCCTAGGCTGTAAATCTTTACGGGAGCAGAAAGCCTCATCTTTCTAAGAAGGAGCTGCTGGTGGATTCGAACTGCTGCCCTTAAAGTTAGCAGGCCAAAGCAGAACCCAGTACTCCACGAGGGTTCCTTTCTACTCCCTCTACTGCCAGCAAGGCGTCCTGGTGTGGCGCTGTGGGCTAATGCGTCACACTGCAAAGTCGTTTGAACTGCAGCGTCGGTGGTTCAAGCTCACCAGCTGCTCTTAGGAAACCCTATACAGAATCGACTTAACAACTCCCGCAAAGCACCGCTCGGTGAGAGGCGACATTCGCCACAGTCACGAAGCGTACAACATTGTTGTAGCAGGACCTCCCTGTTGTAGCAGGACCTCCCTGACCGTCTGCCCTCCCCGCTCGGGTTTCTGATGGCCACGGGAGGCTTCTTTGCACAACCCCGCAGCGCCTGGCGAGGAGGTACTGGAGCATCGAACCGCGAGATGCAGACAATAGCTGGGTCGAGGATGATGCCGGAAGTCCCGCCCCACTCGCGCATCACATCCTGGAATAGACCCTTTTTAGATACGTTATTGGCCACATCGTTTTAGACGCGTGAGGTTCTTTGGAGTAAGGTAGTCAGCCTGCGCTTCTAACAGAAGTTAAGTGCCATGGCGTCAGTTACGACTCTTAGCGACCCTGTTAAGTACGAGGGGCGGCTGGTGAGTTTGAACCGCCGACCTTTTGCTTCACACCGACTTTGTGGTCGAGGACTTACCCTACAGCGCCACACCAGAACTCCTCCAACAGTTGTTGTTGTTGTCAGGTGCCATCCAGTCGGAACCGACTCATAGCGACCCCATGCACAGCAGAACGAAACAATGTCCGATCCTGGGCCAACCTCACCACCGCTGCCACACTTGACGCCATCAATGATGCCACCTGGCTGATCCATCTCGTTAGGGGTCTTCCTCTTTTTCTCTGACCCTCCATCTTACCCAGCATGACATCCTTCTCCAGCGACTGTTCTCTCCTGACAATTTGTCCAAAGTATGAGAGACGAAGCTTAGCCATCCTGGCCTCCAAGGAGCACTCTGGCTGCACTTCATGCAAAATAGATCTATTGGTTCTTTTGGCAGTCCATGGCACTTTCAGTATTCTCCAACAACATCACAACTCAAAGCCATCAATTCTACGATCTTCCTTATTCACTGTCCAGCTTTTGCATCCATACACGGTTATTGAAAATACCATAGTGAGATGCAAGATGGCGGATTGGGTGGAAGTGCAGTAAGAGCTCTGCCAGCAACAACACAGAATACCCGACCAAGCAGGCTCAAGGGATGGTCCCAGAACTCTGAACCAACAGACGTTAGGAGTACGCTTTCCTATCACCTTGGCAACGACCAAGCTGCCCTGAGCGGGGCGCAGGAAAATGATACCACAGATCAAGCGGGCGCTGACCCAATGAAAGTTCATTCTAGGGCTAATGAACTTCTTGTGAATTGGAGATCTCCGGCGTCGTTTTGCAGCTCTGAGTCATTTCGTGGAGACCTCACCGGCCCGAGAAGGACAGAACTTCGCACCATGCCTTTGCATGCACCGTGAAGCTTGGTGAATGACTTCGCCGACTATAGAGGCAGGAGCCACGAGTCCATGGCCTCCGCATCCCTTTTTCATACTCTGGCTTCCCGAGACTGCTCGCTAGTCTTCGGGCACATTTTTCAGGAGCGAGAATGAGCTTGGAACATTGTACGTCAGCCCGAATCCACTGCGTCCTGAGCGTGGCCGAGAAGGGGGCGTGTCTGCTTAGACTGTGCCGATGGCCGAGCAGGCACAGGTGAGTGGAAGGCGCCCCAGTCTAAACGCGGGAGTCGGGGCTCAGGAGGAGTGAGGAAGGCTGTGGAGGTGAAATGACAGCATGGCCTGGGCACCGGAGGAAGAGGGCGGGAGATTTCGGTGTTTGGTGTGTGGTGGTTCCTGGCCACAGGAGTGTGAGGCCGTCAGCGCAGGCCTGGGTGATGCCTTGGCAGTGGAGGTCGTTGGATTTGTGGAGCCGGATTGGGTGTTCATGCTAGGATACCATGTATGTGTGGTGATCTAGGGAGACCAGGGAGATGGCTGTGGGGAGTATACTGAGGGACAAACCAAAGGGTTGACTAAGATACTTGTTACCTAACGGAGAAAGTTGAGCGTTAGCTGGGTTGTGGCCTGGAGGGACACCAAGGGATTTAGCTGGAATGGAAGATAGGTGACCACCAACCTTTTGTTCCTGGGGTGGCATGCAGTATCCAGTGTTGCCTTTAGGAGAAAGAGGCACCAGTGGTCCTGGGAACCTGTCCCTTTGAGGCATGGATCTTGGGATCAGGAAGATATGAGGGTATGGTGGTGATGTCTGGGTCTCAGAGAAAGATGATGCTTCCAGAAAATATGGCAGGATTCCGTCTCTGAGATCGAGTGCCTGGATGTGTCCATCTGTCCATATTTTGCTGTGTTTTTTGCCCACTCATTGACCCCATGGATCAGCTAAACCCATCAATGCAGAGCGTTGTGACCTTTGAGGATGTGGCTGTTTATTTCTCCCAGGATGAGTGGAGAGGCTCCTTAATGTGACCTAGAGGCACTTGTATCGTGATGTGACGCTGGAGAACTTTGCGCTCATTGGTTCACTGGGTGAGTTCTTCACGCCCTCTCACAGAATGTTAATCACTGTCTTAGTTATCTGGTGCTGCTATGATGGTAAGTAAAAATAAATAGATAGATAGATAGATAGATACAAAATCATAGAAACCTTTATTAAACCAAAATATCAAAATGTGAAGCTTTTGTTTCTTGATGTATCTTCTATGTCTATATACTTCTGAAGGCAGCATTTCTATCTCTCTAACCCTTCCCAGGAGTCCTGGGGTGGTGCTGTGGGTTAATGCGCTGGACTGCAAGGTCGGTTTGAACCACAAGGTCAGCAGTTCAAGCTCACCAGCTGCTCCTTGGGTCACTATGGGTCAGAACTGACATGATGGCACTTAACAACAACAACCCTTTCCCCAGGAATTCTGAGTCTTTTGTGCTTTTTCTGGCCTTTTACTATGTTTCCTCCTCTAGGACTTGCACCTTCAAGATTCCATGTGGTTGCTCAGTTGGAGGGTGATGAAGAACTGTGGGTGCCCAACATCGTAGATGTGACTCTGGTCAGCAGAGCAGAGGCCGGGAGGGGTCCTGGTGAGTGGGAGCTTGGGGAATACCAAGGCTTTCGGGATAGGCTCAAGGCATCATGGGTGCCTGTGTGCCCTGGTGTGTTGGTATTTCTGAGCTAATAGTCACACCTTAGTGCCACCTCTCCTCTCCTTTCTGGATACGCTGCACTCCTGCCATCTCTACCATGATTACCAGGCCCTAGATGATCCCACCTCTGGCCTCTGTGCCTTCTGATGTCCACTTCTTTGTGCTGGTGCAAAACTGTCCAGAACTGACTTACTCTATGTATAGTGTGAGATATGTGCATGTCCTTAAAGAATGCTTGAACACCAGTTACTCAGTTGTGATCATATTTTCATTAGACTGGTCACATCCCTTTCTATAGTCCTTTCCTGTCATCAGCAGCCAAGGTCCTGCTGAGAGCCTTTATTGAGGAGTGACTTGGAGACTCTAACTTCTTACTGTGTTTGTCCCCTATCTTTGTGTCTCTCCCCTTCTGTTAGCGAGCTGGGTTGTGTGCTAATTGGCCCTTCCTTACTCAAGTCCTTCTGCTTTCACCTGTTAACCAGTTCCTGGACTCCTTTCTGGGTATATCTGTTGTGCACTGGTAATGTGCAGTAAGCGACATTTCTCTGCTTTCAGATTGTCTGTGTGGATTGGAGGGTGAGGGAGCCCCACGTGAGCGTGTGAAGAGCTTCAGAGTCAAGAAGCCCTTTATACGGGGGGATTCTGTGAAGGACATTCCAGCCAGACTGGGCTTTCTCTGTCTTCAGGGTACTCACACTGGGGAGAAGCCACACAGAAACACCAAGTGTAGGGAGGCCTGCCCTCACAGCTCCCATCTTGGGCAGCAGTAGGGAGCCCACTCTAGACAGAGTCCCTTCAAGTGCAGCAATTGCGGGAAAGCCTTCCTAAAGGCTTTCACTCTCCTTGATCACTTGATAACTCACTCTGAAGAGAGATCAAACAGGTGCTCAATAGGCAGGAATGATTCCAAGGGTAGATCAGTCCTTGTTCATCACCGAAAGATTCACAGTGGAGAAACATCCCATATGTGTAATGAGTGTGGAAGGGCCTTTACTTACCCATCTAAACTGAGGAAGCACCAGAAAGTTCACACCGGAATAAAACCTTTCAAGTGTCGTGAATGTGGGAAAACCTTCAATCACAAAGACACACTTGTTCTGCATGAGAGGATCCACACTGGAGAAAGGTCGTATGAGTGCAGTGAATGTGGGAAAGCCTTTAGCGTTCTGTCTACTCTCATTCGACACAGAAAAGTTCATATTGGAGAAAGGCCTTATGAGTGCAGGGAATGTGGGAAATTCTTTAAATACAATAATAGCTTCATTTTTCACCAGAGGGTTCACAGTGGAGTCAGGCCATTTGAGTGCAACCCGTGTGAGAAGACTTACGTAACCTGCTCTGGCCTCTATCAGTCCTGGAAGGTCCACACTGGAGAACGGCCTTATGAATGCAGCCTATGTGGGAAAGCCTTCACTACCATGTCCTACCGCAACCGGCATCAACAGTTTCACACTGAAGAGAGGGCCTATAAGCATACAGAATGTGGGAGAGCCTTCACTACCATGTCCTACCATAACCGGCATCAACGGTTTCA